AAAGACTGTGCCCCATCATCGCCGCACCATCAGTCACCGCCATCACCAGCCCTTCCCAGCTGTCATCGTCACCATGTCAAGAACAGATCTATCGTAGACGTCTGTAAGACAAGCAAACATGAGAAAGAAGAAAAAGGAAAAGAAGAAGAAGGAATAGATCTAAAGAACAAAAAAGGGGCTGAGAAAATAATGGGGGGAAGAGAAGAAAAGGTGAAGAAGAAGAAGAGAGGTGGGGGGAGGAGAGAGATAGAGAAGAATAAGAACGGGTGGGGGCAGAAGAAAAGAAATGGTAGAGGCACTGGACAAGAAAAGAGGGGAAAGAAAGAAGAAGATAATAATTGGGTAGAGATATTTTAGGTAATTTGTGTGTTAAAAGGTAGAATGGAAAGATTATTTTTGGACGGAGAAAAAAGTAGAATGAAAATATTATTTCCGGACGGAGGAATGATAGTAATTTGACCTTGTTCGGGACCTTGAGTTTCCATATTATAGTCCAACTATTGTCCTACAATTGAAGGTTGAAGCCCCTGATCATATTGTATGCTGAAGTAATAGAGAACTTACCTGAAGATTCGTGGTTCCAGTACACTTCGTCTGGTATCTTTGATTGTGTGTCCAGCACCATTGAATACAAGCAGGAGGTGATAGTAGCTGGAAGAATGGGAAGGTGGTTCGATTTCCACCCGCTCGTGTCATCCCACATATCAGCAACAGATACATACATGTTGTTGGGCACTCCCATGTCCTGTATGAAATCAATGAGCGGCTTCTCTCCAACCCAAGTGTCCAGCCAGAACTTTGTTTCAGAACTTCTATTGACTTTATGGCTAAGACCGTATTCACTAATTTCATGGCATGAGTAATTCTTTTCGATGCATTAAAAACCCCCTTAACGCTTTGAAACATGTCCTTTCCAGTTCTATGTCTCGCATATTTAGAGATTAATACTTTGGCTAACAAGTTGTCTCCTTCAATAAGAAAACGCAACCAAGTTTAACCACAAGAGTAACTTTTATATTGATCTTCTATTATATAAGATTTTTCATATTTAGTTATCTATCGTCAAATATTACACCATCTTTCCATGAATAATTTTTTTTGAACTTCTGGTATATTGTTATTACATTGAAGGTTAAAAGTGTTATCCACATTGACCCTATATCCACTGACATATTTTGATTCCGGCTTGAGAACAACAAAACTATAATGATTTTGACTTTGCATTCCAATTTTGACTAGAGACGACATCGATAAATTATAGTTACAATAAAAAATGAATCCATAAATTTATATGTACAAGTATGTATGAGTTATTTTGTTATCCATAAATTATGTAGGAGAATTATAATAGTTTGAAAGAACAAGCTATTCAGGAGGGTATTGATGTTGCGCCAGGAGAACTATTTTATGTGGCAGCTGATGGACATGATGCAAAAAATCGTGTTTTCGGTACAGGTTCAGTTGCGCATAAAATTCCAAAGAATACTTTGAGACAGAGCAGACGAGCCAGCACGAGCGGTATCTCCGACATGGAGAATAATGAAGTTCTTAGTTTGCGCAAGGAATTGCTAGAATTCAAAGCAATGGTTGAAGCAAGGGACAAAACGATATTGGAGGAACTAAAAGTGCTCCGCGGTTGTCATGGTGATGGTTGATTTGATAATGAAGATGGTGGTGGTACAGGTGGTACGACGGGCTGTGTTTGAACATTATACTTCCCTTATTTATTATTGTTAAACATTTCAACGTTCTTTAAGTACCTTATATTTGAGGCATAATACATTCTGTGGATTGGAGACTACTCTGATTATGATCAATATTTGGTTTGTTTGAAAATTCTCATTTTTCATTTCTTGTGTTTTTTTTCTGTTTATGTCTTTTGTTCTAGTTGGTATATGATTTTTGGCCAATTTTGTAGCTGTAGGCTGCCTGTAGAAACTGATTTCTGCCTGCAGAATCTGGTCATGTTGCGACGGAGTTTGCGACGGAAATTTTCCGTCGCAAACGTTTTACGTGTTATACTGGGAGTTGCAAATGCCGTCGCAAATCAACTGCGATGATTTCCATCCGTTGCAAACGGCTGTCGTAGATATGTCTACAAGAACATTTTGAATCTCTTGTAAAGTTTGTCGCAAATGCTACGACGGCTAACTATCATCGTAAATATGGTCGCAGAGTTGCGATGGAATGGTCGCACGGCGGTTTGCGGCCAAAAAACTACGACGGAATGAAAGTGGTCGCAAATTCCGTCACAACTCTTAATTGCGAGAGAAAAGAAGCCGTCTGCGACGGAATTATTCCGTCGCAAAAAGCTGAAATTCTTGTAGTGAATGACACATCAACAAGAATCTCTGACATTGTCTATGACAAAAAAGATATGTTATTATTATGATGATTTTTAATTATTATTATTATCTTAAAATTACACTTTTAATATTCAATTTAATGTCACTCTAAAAGAAAGTAAAAAAGGCTATCCGTCATCTCGGGGAAAGTTTTCCATAGAAAAGGGATCGCGAACGTAATATTTGATCATTGGTGACAATTGACAAAATATGGAAAACTCGTGTTTCAAGAAAAGAAAATAAGGCTATCTATAGATAAAATGTGCCAAAAGTGAATCAAAAGTTTTAATTCTTGACTACAATATATTAAAAAAATACATTGTATTTTGTGATACAAATTTAATATGCCAAATATATGAATCGAAAACTTTTGAGACCAATTTTCCAAAAAAAAATAGCACGTTTATTTGAGACCATCTTAATAACTTTTGTCTCCCCTCTCCGTCCTGAAATAAATTAAATTTTTTTTTGTCTGTCCTCTCAAAATTTTTTGTTTATTTCTGTGTTGATAGGCTTCTTAATTCACAACAACGAAAGTCTTTTTTCACTCTTTCCTATACGAGGGGATTTCACTTGAAAAAAAATGTTCCATACTAAATGCCAAAAGTTTTTATTTCTCTTTATTTGAGACAATCTCTTTTTTTTGGAAATATTACATCATCTTTCCAAAAAAAAAGCACTTAGAGCATCTCCAACGGAAGAAGTTAAAATCCAAGTGCTATAATGCTTTTTAGCTTTTGAACACTAGATTAAATATCCACTTGCTCCAAGTCTCCAACGGTGTGCTTCTATTATAGCACATATATAGAGCCTTCTCTCTTTTCATCCACAAACTCCAACCATATCTCCACAAACTCCCTTCTCTCCTCCCTCCGTCCCACTATATTCATCCACTTTTGACTTTTGGAACTGTTCATCTAAGCACTTTGACTCATCAAATTCTCTCAATGTGTAAGCCTAAATATAGTCATGTGTGATCTTGTTTGATTTGTCTTAACATATAGATTATTAATATATAATTTCTATAATTTTTTAATATACAAATTACAAGATAAAATGGATTAAAGAAGTGTATTGGATGGTGTGCAAAAATGAAAATGGACAAATAAAAAAAGTTTTTTACTCCGTATTAAATAGAGTATATACATCACCTTTCATTAATAGAAGATCTAACTCCAATTATAAAGGATGTTCTATTTTTTGAAACATCCGTTGGAGCAAGAAAATTGCTACAGTATAGTTTATACCTTCTACAGTATATTTTAACATTTGAAGATTGCGTTATAGTAGATGCTCTTGATAACTTTTGAAAAAAAATACTCCCAAGACAAAATATCAAATTTGTTCAATTCATTTTATTTACATAGTGGTAAATAAATAAAAAATAAAATTAACTTATAAAAAAACTAAATGAAAAGTTCTCCGAAATAAGAGGTGTCAAGTATATTTTATTTTATCAAATAATTAATGAAAACGTCGAAATAAACAAAAGTTTCTAACACTGCTGAAAAAGCAAATATTATGAATATTTAGGGAGTACATTGTATCTTGTGTCCACGTATATATTTGAGACCATCTTTCCGTACATTCAACTAACAGTTGCTTCTTTTTTTTCTGTTGTCTTTTAATTCGAGTAAACAAGGTAACAGTAGGAGGCTCATGAAGAAGAAACAAAACAACATGCACATGTTAAATCAAAGGGAAGTAGAGACACAGACACCTAGTAGCTCGTTCCTCCAGCCGGCCACGACTTCCCCACGCTTTCACCTTTTCATATCTATTTATTGGTAACATTTTTCCACAAATCATTCCCTATAAATATATTAATGTTTCTCTTCCTTTCCACATCTATATATATATATATATATATATATATATATATATATATATATATATATATATATATATATATATATATATATATATATATATATATATATATATATATATATATATATATATATATATATATATATGCACTCCCCTTTATATTGACACCCCAAGTGAAAAGCATATATAACTAATAAATGCCCTTCATTCAATTCAAAACAAACCCATATATAGTCAACACCCCCTAGTCAAACCCCTAGTCAAACTCCATCCGCCGCCAGCTGCGCCACCATGCCTCCCCGGAGCACGTTTGGCGCAGCTGCCGGGAAACACCCGCTGTTTCGGGGGATTCGGACCCGAAGCGGCAAGTGGGTTTCCGAGATTCGCGAGCCTGGAAAGACCACGAGGATATGGTTGGGAACTTACCCGACGCCGGAGATGGCCGCGGCCGCATATGACGTTGCGGTGCACGCCCTTAGGGGAAACGACACCGCGCTCAACTTCCCAAGCCTCGTGGATAGGTACCCCGTGCCTGCTTCCCATTCGCCGGCGGATATCAGAAGTGCCGCCGCTGCCGGAGCTACTATAGTTCAGCGGATTCAAAGCAGCGGTGATTGGGAAGCCGGAGGCGTGAATGACGGCGCACGCCCGGCGGCGGATGTGGATGAGATGCACGGGAACGGGGAGTACATCGACGAAGAAGCTTTATTCGATATGCCGAATTTGCTGGTGGACATGGCGGGTGGCATGATGGTGAGTCCGCCGAGAATGAGTACGCCGGCGGCCGATGATCCGCCGTCTAATTCCGACATTGAAAGTCTATGGAGCTATTAATCTACGTAATAACGTGGAGCATATATACACGGACTAGTTCTACGTATATATATGACCTGCATGGAATATATGTCATGCAAAGAAATGGAAACGGTGTTCATATTTTTTTTTTCAAAAAAAAAAATAGTCGTATAAAAAAATGAGTTTTTGGACTCAATTCCCCCAAATTCTTCATAAAATTTGTGTTTCCTCTCCAAGGTTTAAAAAATGCATCATTATATTAGTCTTTTTAATACTTCCTCCGTCCCAAAAAGATGTTCGCACTTTAACTTTTAAGAAATTTAAAGGGATTTTTTAGTACATTTTCCGAAAATATTCTTAATGTGATGGACAAAAGTAGGATTCGAGATTATGTGTTGATTTTTAGTAAAAAGGCATAATGTGATAAGTTGATTAAGAATTAGGCTGCATTGTGTTCGTCTGATCTGATTTTTTGAAGATCTAGTCTCATTTGATTTGATTGCAGTTATAATTAAACCTTTTTCTGATCTCGTCTAACCTGATCTGATTATAATACTAAGAATAAGAAAAAAGCTAAACGAAACACTTCCTCAGTAGGGATAAAAGTGGATTTTCAATAGAAATTAAAAGGCTTTTCTGAGACGAGTAAAAAGAGGACGAGAATGAATTTTTGAGACGGATAGAGTATTAAAAATATTACATGGCTCATCTCCACCTATTTGAAGGTTTTGACATAACATGAATATTAAAAAGTTAATAAATTTGTTGGTGATTTCAGTGGTATTGACTATCTTATATACCGAGTAATTTAAAAGTTAAATTTGTTGTCGATAGAGTCCAAAAGTTATAATATTTGAATGTTTGGATAAACATTCGAAATCAGGCAAAATCTCCATGCAATAACTCTTTGTAGGGATCAATTGTTTGGATAAACATAATAAATTCCCAATATAGGATCATATGTTTTTATTTCTCAATGTATGACCTTTGCTCATTACCAATTAGTCATTATTCAAGTAAATGTCCATCATTACAGGACATTATTCTTACCGCTAGACATCATTAATTTATATTTAGAAAATAAAAAAGTTTAAGTCCTACATTGCGAAATGACTTATGTTTTAGTCTTATTTAGTGCAAATTACACTATCGAAAAACTAGTGCTCGTTCTTGAATTAATATCTCAGATCAATTGATTAGAGCATTTTATTTAAGTATACTTCCAAATAATTTTAATCTGAAAATATATTCTCACGCGATTTGTTTAATTTATCAAGTCCATTCTTCATATTCACATAACTTCTTCATAATTCATCCAGATTTAATTCAAACAAAGTTGTGTTCTTAAAAGGCGGCACTGAGAAAAAAAGTAATATAGGTGTAAGAATTTATTTGGGTGAAACCCCCTTGTTTGTTTCATTGATACATATATATGGACATAAATACACAGAGGTGATGAAATCGAGTAGCCCAGGTGATACAAATGAGGAGTCCCAACAATAAATACAATATACTCCCTTCGTCCCAAAAAGATTTACACGTTTCAAAAAAAGTTGTGTCCCACAATTTCTTACCCATTTATATTAAAAAACCACTTTTACCCCTTACCTTTTCAAACCCTACCTATCACATCATACTTTTTTCCTAATAATCTACACATCACATCCTACTTTTACCCATCACATCAAGGGTATTTTTGGAAAGTCGACACAAAATTATCCCTTCCTTAATTTTAATTTTAGTAAAAACGGGTAACGCTTTATGGGACGGAGAGAGTACAAAAGATAAATGTATGATACACTTCCTCGATTTTATCATCTCTTGTTTTATAGAATTTTTGATGTAGCTTTGAAATATATAATTTTTATGTTTTAATTTTACATTTTTTATTAAATAAATTAAATTGAAAATAATCTATTGAGATATCATTTTAATGTATAACATATGAGGCCGGTTCCAATGGTTCCATAGCCACTGGAATCCAGTGGCTACGGAAGTCACTGCTCCCTACGGAGCTCCGTTCATGAAATTGATGATTCCTACCCCCCTAACCCCCCGGTAAACCTCCCCGCCAAGTCTTGACCCAAATTACTCCCTCCACCTACGTCAATTGCATCTCGAAAGTATAATTGAATTTAAAGTCAAAACTTTTGACTTTATACTTTAGAGGTGCAATTGACGTAGGTGGGGGGAGTAGTTTGGATCGAGACTTGGCATGGGGGTTTACCGGGGGTAGGAATCATTAATTTTATGAACGGAGCTTCGTAGGGGACAATGACTTCCGTAGCCATTGGATTCCAGTGGCTATGGAACTGGCCTCATAACATATATCTGTGGGTGTGAACGGCGGCGCGGGGCTGTTAACACCCGACCATTCAGCTATAATGACGTACGTGTAGCTCTTCATGACTTTTCGTTACTAAGCAATTTGGTACGTACTCTTTTGTCTTCTTACCACATATGCCGTGTTTTTATACGGACGCCTTTTCAAAAGACTAATAATACGTACATTGTTTTTGCTTCAATCTAGCTACATTTAAACATGCATTAATATTAATCAATCGCGCGCTTCAGTGGATGTAGATCGAATTGTGTCAATCGTAACGGCCGGCCCCCCACACGATAGAAGGGGACACACCTAGGGCTAAAGCTATATGTACATATTATGGCTGTCCCACACATTTACAAATCAAAAACAAAGAAAAAGTAAAATATTCATGTGTCCCCCTAAATCTTTGTTGTTTGTTTTTTCAAACAAATCTTATAATCGTCATTCCGTCAAGCAATAATGTTCTCGTTGCACGTTACGATTTTTGATTGAAATTATTTTAAAATTATATTATATGCAAAATGGTATGAAGTTTAAAAATAAAAATTATATATTTAAAAACTATATGAAAATATGTACAAAATTAGAGGTGACATTATAAATAAAATTTGATCATGTTAATAGTGAACAGAAACATTATTATTAGACAAATAGAGTTCTCAGTAGTATATTTTGATTATAGAGTGGTGATTCCGTGCATGCAAAGGTCATGCCTAAATCCTAGTTCTTTTCACAAAAGCTTCTGAGCTTAAAAGCTAACGTGGAAAAAAGGTTTATTTTACCCAAACTTATGTGTCTAATGCTAATGTTAATCTTAATCATAATCTTAATTCTAACCCTAATCTTAATTTCTTAATTCTAACCCCAGTCTTAATGCCCTAATCCTCATCTCAATCCCCTAATCCTAGTCCTAATCTCTTAATCCTCTAATCTTTTAATCATGATCATAAAACTGATGCTAATAGTGATACTATTACTAATACTAAGGAATCCACTTCCATATTAGCAATGTCCATATAATTGGAATGGATCAGAGGACCATGAAAGTATTTGCCTTGATTATGAAGTGTGTAGAAAAGTACTCCGTATATTTTACTTTTAATACTCTAATATTCTCAAATTAAGTTGCTTGTTCACTGTATATATATAGTCAAATTTTATTTAATTTCTTTACACATTTTAGATATGGTATAAAAAATATTGTAAGTTAAATCATTTGAAATCGACGTATAAATTACGGAGTACTTTTATTCAAATATTTGTTGAAGATTCGACAATTATTCGAATATTAATCAAATATAAATACAAATCTTATTTTTAATTCGTTTCATACTCATATTCGGAATCGTATTCGAAAGAATTAATGAAATACAAATTCAAATATTACGATATTCGTTTCAATTCGCTTACAACCCTAGTATTCAACACGGTATATCTGGATGCATACGGGTTCCAATATCTCTGAAGACCGGAATATTTTGGGTCTAAGAAATACGGGCCGGGACAATGAAGTTATTTGTTCAAGTAAGGTCATGAGTTTCTTTAGTGGGCCATTAAAGATATGAGACCTGAAATCTCAATCAAGCCCGCAAGAATTTCGTGTCAGCCCTAAAATAAAAAATAATAAAAAAAAAAAATATCAATCCCATTGTGCGGATTAACGGCTACGATATGGCCTCCTTCTTCCCATCGTCGCAGTGAAGAAGTTCGTTCTTCCCCGCTCCAGCTCAACCTTCTTCTTCCCCCATTCAATTCTTTATCTTGTCCAATCTGTTTGTTCTTTTCTTTTCAAAAAGGAATTACCCTGAGTTCGAAGATTGCCCTGAAGTTCTAATTGAAGATCAACCTTTTTGAAAGCTTTTGGGGGGTTGTTGTGTTCTCAATTCCCGACCATGAGAGGAACGAAGCGATTCGCCGCGTCCGAGTCCCGCTTCTTAACCAGCGACGCAGTAAGTTTAATTTTGTTTAAATTATGCAACTAATGTTAGTATCTAAACACGATTGCAAGTTGCGTGGTCAGATTCAGATCTCGATTTTACATTGTTTTTCTTTTGCTCTTCAATTTTGTGCAATTTATTAATGGAGTTCTTGTGTGAATTTGTTTGTGATGCTTTTCATTTCTGAGAGGGTTTAGGTTGATTTGAATCATAATCCTATTATAGTTTTCTACGGAGTATTCAAATAGCTGATGCATAATTGAATTATTTCGATGGATTGAGGTTTTGTCAATGTATATGTTTATCTAGGAGGCAATGTATTCAATATTGAAAAGGAGTTTTTAATCATAAATTTGAGCTCTTTTTAACAAAATATTTGTGAATTTATCTACATGTGCATACTCGTGAAGACTGTGACAGAGTCAAAATTTTACTGAGCTTGCTGTTGTTGTTGTTGTTGTTGTGTGTGTGTGTGTGTGTGTTTCACGGCTCTTCAAATAAGTATCCCTTCCCCTCCTTGAAATGTCCATGTTTGGGTAACCCGGTACCCAAATCCTTTGTAGAATTTGGAAAAAGTTGGTACTTCCCTGTTTTCAATCCTACCCGGCTATGCATACCTGTCGCAGTGCAAATTTGGTTGTTGTAGTTTTTTTGTTACTCATCTGTTGATAAACGGCTTTGATAATAAATGCTTTATATTTTTGCTTTCTTAGTTCTCAGTTCCTTTGCAGAACCAAAGCAAGAGACTTTTGGATGGGTCACTTTTTGATTCTCAAAGGGCAGAGCCATCCCAGCAGCTGTCAGTTTCTTCCCCACAGTTGGATATGCGGAGGGCTGAATCATCCAGGCAACATGTCAGGGCTCTCAATAATCAGTTTGCAAGGTTTATAATTCTTCATTCTAGCTCAACTGCCCCTTTTTTTTGAAACGCTGATAGCAATAATTGTACACGAAAATCACCCTACTTTCAGTAGAAAAGATCCTTTTTTAAACATAAAATTAAAATCCACCTATATGTGTCTATGCCATGTGTGTTTATCTAGAGATGTTTCTCTTTTTTTTTTGCTTGTGATTTAAATGTCTGCAGCTTAGACTTGCATCCTAACAAAAGATGATTTCATAGAAATTGAAATTGATTTTAATCTTTTTTGAACCCCTTTAAATATAAATAGTTTAATACTATGTTTACACCGTAATAGATATTACTAGTGTTTTATCTTATTCATTCTTTTTAGAACATTGTTAATAAAGGCAAAGAGTTGTTTTTTTCCACAATGAATATCTATATCTAGCTTTTTTGTTGTTCTAAGCAGCTGGGTGCAAACACAATTGCAGAACCACCCTGATGAACTATGGGAAGATGGTGTCCAAGACTATTTAACCCATGCTTCATCCATTATGGTACATTTTTACATGTTAACAAGAATAATAATAATAATAATAATAATAATAATAATAATAATAATAATAATAATAATAATAATAATAATTTTACACATTCTTGCTTCATTGAAGGTTCTAAGCTTGGGTGGTCTTTTTTGCAGGAAAAATTTAGTGATGTTGTAAACTGGCTGAAAGCAAATGGTGCCAAAGGAGCAACCACTTCCTTGCTAGGATTTCAGTCAGCTCCAAAGACAGCAGTCACATCTGAAAATAAAGAAAACAAGAGTACCTCCTTTCTGGGATTTCAAACATCTCAAAAGCCAGTTGCCTCAGAAAATAAGGAAAACAAAAGCACATTATTTCTGGAAAAACAACCTCATATTCCTGAAGCTAATGCATCTTCATGTTTTGGCACTTCCTGGAATTCGGGACCTATCTTTAACAACAAGACTCCATTTTCATTTGGTGGGTATTTTTTTGTACTGCACCAATATTTTTACTTTTTTTTCAAATTGTTTCAATAATTTAATGTTGATGTTCACACAGTAAATCCTACATTGTCAGCTTATTCTAGGTTTCTCTAAATCCTAATCTGGCATTTATGTTCTTCTGGTTTGATAAATAAAGATTGATGTTGTATGTGTACTTTGTACTACAATTTTCCTTCTTCATCTTTCGTGAAAAGAAATTTAGGTGGTGTACATTAGAATGCGACTGCTATTATGTTTTTGATTTTATTTCTGGACCCGGTTCTCTTCATTTGTCCACAACTTTAATGGTGGAGATAGGTCAAGGCTTTAGTTTTTAATGGATTTCAGAAACGTTGACCCTGGAGTTATTTTAAATGCTTCAATTATGTTTCTTCCAGGACCTCAGAGTACAGTTGTGCAACCTCAAAATGCAGTGACTGCAAACAATGACATTTCAAATGATGCAGATGGTAGGAGATCACTGCTTCCTTTCGTTTTAAAAATGCCAATTCTATTTATTACTCTGAATCTTATATCATACTTATCCTTGTGTATTACGGAGTGCTATCTTTTATTCATTATCATCATGCAATGGATGTGAAATTTGTGCTATTATAGAAGGTGAAATAGAGCAGCCAGACAGTCCATCCGTAAAGAAGGTCGAAGAGATTGGGGTCACTGTTGTCCATGAAGTCAAATGCAAACTTTATGTGAAGGTGATCTTTTGTATATACTCATATCAACGGTTACGATTAATACTATATTCTCTAGGGTATGTTTGGGTAGATGGGCTTGGCCGCCTTTATATCTTCAGAAATAGAATGTTTCTAAAAACAAATTAAAGTTGATTGAAATGTTATAGGATGACATGATTTGTTACTCCGTAATATATTATATACATTATTCCCTTAAAGAAATGTTTCGATATTCATTTGTAGACAGAGTGACTTTACAGATTGTATTGACATGCAACTCCAATACAATAAGTCTAGATATGTGCTTGACCGTTGCCTTGATAGGCTTTTTAGTTTCTGAAGTCATTTTTGTATTACCAGTCAAGTGATCCAGCAGACGAAGATGCATGGAAAGATAGAGGCACAGGTCAGCTATCTATAAAATGTAAAGAAGGTGCTAGCAAGGGTACCCGTGAATCCAAACCCACCATTCTCATTCAAAATGATGTAAGAGCCTTCCTTCCTTAAACTTCCGTCTTTGTGTAGCTTTCTCTCTGAGATCTTTTCTTAACTATTATATATTGTAATACACAACGGTTCTTTTGACTTTGGAACCTTGGGTCATATTATGACCTGGGACACCTACGGTGCTCCGTTCCTAAAATTGATGGTTCCTACCCCCCTAACCCACCCCCCTAAACCCTACCCCCTACTTGCCCACCCCACCACAGCACCCCCCTAATCCTTGCCGTTGTTATTTATTTATTTATTTATTTATTTATTATTCTTTGATCCCTTTCAGGTTGGAAGGGTGATGCTCAATGCATTACTATATCCGGGCATCAAGACGAACTTGCAAAAAAATTCACTCGTTTCAATATTCCACACCGCGGTATATCTTCCTTATCATTTTCTGTGTTCCAAACAAACCCTACGTGCATTTTAAATTTGACACTGATTATGTTCGTAGGAAGGGGAGAACGGCAGCAGTGTTGTCGCACAGACATGTTTGATTAGAGTGAAATCTGTAGAGGACAGAGATAAGTTGGCAGCAATAATCCAGGAGTGTGCTCCTGCTTCATGAGAACAATGGAGTAAAACCACTGTTGTATTATTTTTTTTCTTTTTTTTGTTTGAGCTCCGACGGAATACTCACATTTTAAGATGGGATTTTTGTTCCCCAATGAGGATGTTTTTGGATTCATTAACAAGTAGCCTGGAAATTACCTTTTTTTTTAGAATGATGAATATTGACATCCAAACAAGCCAATAAATTGCACATTTGCATTGCCCCCTCCACTTCCTATCAGTGTTTTTTGTTTTCTTAAAAATGCCCAAAACTTTGTGATCAAACAAGAATCGCAATTCTCTCAAATAAGAGATCACATGTTCAAGCTCCGAGGGTCTTTTTGGTGTTTCAACAAGTTAAGAAAGTATGGGTTAATATATACAGAGTATTATATTGTACCCTTTCTGTTCGGAAATGTTATCACTTTTTGTTTGGTCTGTCTAAAAATATTACCTAAAGTTAAATGTCAATAATATCCTTCCACTTTAACACCCACTCACATAAATTAGTTCACCCCCAAATTAAAGTAGAGCGATATTCTTGGAAGTTTGGCACATAGGGGTTGTTTGGCAATTTCTGAATAGGTAAGTGCTGAACCAGTAAGAGGTCTGAACCATTAAAAGCTAGTATATTGCTTTAACTATTCAAAGGCAAATGTCTGATCAATTCAGATAAGAGGTTTTAATCATTCAGACTCTGTATAATACTTAACCATTCAGAGGCAAATCTCTTAACCATTCAGACATCTGAACCATTAAGAGGCTGAAACAAACAGTCTGAATCATTAAGTGCTGAACCATTCAGACATCTGAACCATTAAGAGGCTGAAACAAACAGCCCCTTACTCTTAAATAAGCATGCAAGTCAACATACCATTTTTGGACAGATAGAGTAATAGAAAAAGCATAAACAGCCTATGATCAAGAACATAAAGAAGCGTCTTGTGATGCTTTCAATTTTTCTAAGAGCAGAATCAGGGGTCAAATAGGGAATAAATAAAATGGATAGAGGATGTGATTTTCATTTGGCCCTACTGATTCAATGGCTGTTTTGTTGATCTGCCCTTGAGGAGGGCAACATATTATTAGGCTACGAAAGCATAATTACTACATCATTAGCAACTGAATTCTCTAAACAGGATAAAAACATCATTACAACATAGGCCCAAACTGAAACACTCAAAAACAGAGTATACACAAATGATTCCACAGTTTAAGGTTACAAATAGGCCAACAGGGAGGAGGGGGGGGGGATCGATGTCTCACACTAGCACAGAGGCAATACAGGACATTATAGAATCATTTAAAAGCGGGTTCAATCAAGTTACATCGACTTGTCTTACAAACATGCCGGAATTATTTCTTATAATATGGGCTGTGGTTTGGAGGATCAAACCAAACACACCTTCTCAAACTCGTTTTGCTCTTTACGGCACAGCTCAAACTCATTGGTGTGGTAGTACATGCACCCTGCGTAAGCATCCATTTCTTTCGTGCACCTTTGATGGAGATCTTTCAACCTACCACAAAAGAATTATAAACAAACCACATTTCCATCACTAGTTACTTGAACCATCAAAAGGCATCCAATGGTCATATTCCCCCTTCCCAAGTTGCAATATAGTCGGTAAAGAAACAATAAATCAATCCATGTATACACACATGATACTACTCCCAATGTCAAAGATATAACGCCAAACAAAGCACATTCACCTTGCCCCCCTTATTCTCTCCTCACGTTCAATCCCCCACATTCCAGCTTCCTCTCAATTCAACTTGTGGACTACCTCTTGTTAACCAAAACTAGGGTGTTGCTTAGAAAAGCATGATAATTCCATAATGGGTGAGATTATGATTGTTAATGTTCGTATTGGATCTAAACATATACTGGAACTAGTCCCAATTAAATTATTATATGGAGTACTTCATTCATAATTAGCAATATTTAGAAAGTTGTAATGCAAATTCATGTTTGTTTCTTTGTTTTCTTTTTCATCGAAATATTAACAACCACTAGATAGTGATGACCCTATGTTTTCAACAGTTTCAGTAAAAATGTAATGCACATACAATGCCAGAAACATGGATACAAAAAGGAAATGTAGATTCAGTTCAATCCAGATTCCAGAATTTATAAACATTAGCAATTGCACATTCGTCCGGCGTAAATATCACAAATTCATAAGGAAAGTTGCAGGTTTGAAACATAAAATTTTAAGAAATTGGGTGATAGATATATGTATCAGTTAGAGGCTTGCTTACAGGCCAAGAACGCAGCGAGTGACCAGGTGACCTTTGTCGAGGCATTTCTCGGGGTTAGGATCGTTTTTCTTGCATTTGAGGAATGCCACGTTCTCGCTCCGGCACCGGGTTCCGATGTGCTTCGACGCCGCCATCAGCACCGACGAAGTCGGGATCGGAGCTCCTCCGGCGTCCACCGTACTCCCCATGCTCCGATCGCTCGCCCTCCTCCTCTCTGAGCTGCAAAATCAATCAATCTAACGCTGATCAAGTGTTCCGGTGCCCGCTCGCTCCTCAGGCGACCACGGTCGACGCAGTTGTGTGACTTTACACACCTAGAGAGATTTGGCTCGGATGGTTTGGGCTGTAAATCTCTTAGGATGGGCCTTTTTACACATTGTACCCCTTTATTAACCGGACTTTGGGCATGTATGACAGTTTGGAAGCAACCAGAATGGGCCGAACGGTTCTCGAAAGAGTTTTGGATTTGCTAAAATAACACTGGTGTCATTTGCTTACACCAGTGTACTGCCAAGATAGGGAGGGGGCGGGAGGGGGCTAGGGGTTTAGGAGGAGGGTTAGGGGTAGAAACCGTCGTTTTTACAAACGGAGCACCGTAGGTACCTCAAACAAATTGGTGTAAGCAACTGGTGTATAAGTGGCTGGTTTCATTTTAGACGCTCCCAATAAATAAATACTCAGCAAAAAAGGAAAGAAAGAAAATGAGACGAGTTTGAGTGTTGCGTGAAAGGAGTAAGGAAAATGTCAGTAGTAGCAGAGAGGTGGGGCAGAATGAATCAGTGCAGTAAAGTAGTCTCCCACTTTGATCATGTGGAAGAAAGACCAATACTAAATTGATTTACTAACTACACATATACTTAGATATTTATTGTTTGTGCTATCCCAATAATAAAAACTTTGTATATCTGCATGAAGTCATGTTTGGATTCCTCATTTTTGAATTACCTTTGAACAATTCTGGAAGAGACAACCACTAAATTCCCAAATTATAAATACTTTCATTAAGAAAAAAAACACTCCGTATTAAATTATAATGATTCATTAAATTTATTTCAATTTAACTTATTTAAATAATAATATCAAATATTATAATTTTGTACTCCAATAATTTCATTATACCAGAGAGATGTGTTAAATATTCTCCAATACGAAAGGTTTGTTTGGAAATAGAGAGATTAGTGTTATTCTTTTGAAAAATATTATCTACGTGCAGCGTTTAGCTTAACATTTTAAAAATAATCTGCACCGTTAAAATTTCATCCAAAACACCGACGCTAGTCTTTAACGTTATTCCCAAACAGGTCCGAAAATCACAAAATTGATTATAATGATTGGCAAAATTCATTTTAATTCCATTTATTTAAAAATGCCATCAAATGTTTATATTTAAAATAAACAAAGGACAACCATATTGGTTTAAATAAATATTACTCCTTCCGTTCTCAAAAACACTTCCTTTTTCATTTTTTCCACTTCTAACAAAACACTTCCCCTTTCTATTAAAAAACCACTTTTACCTTTACTTTTTCATACTCTACCTATCACATCATACTTTTTCTCTAATAATCTATCCATCACATCTTACTTTTACCCATCACATCAGAGGCAAAATTGGAAATCAACTATAATTTAACACTTCCTTATTTTTGCCCCAAATCAAATGGGAAGGATTTTTCCAAACGGAGGGAGTATAAAATATGGATACATAAAATCTAAAATTTTAAAAATAAATTCATGGTTCAAATTTGATTTAGCAATTAAAATTGTTAAGTTTTTTTTTCTTTTGGGAGAGAAGAATATTATATTAACATATAATAAGGAGGAGTGATTAAGGAAAATAAGTAATTGGTCGGCATTCCATTTACTTAATACTTACCACATGCAAATTCTATTATTATTGAGCGCTTTATTTTAATTTATAAAACCCTTTCCGGTGGAAGTATGTAGAGAATTATAGGGATATACTCATCACTCTATTATCATCTTTCTTTCAAAGTGATTTATGCCTGCTGCTGCAGCAGCACTGAAGCTTTCACCGGTTTCATCCACAATAAACGGCGCTTCATTGTTGGTCAGTTCCTAGTGAATTACATACGGCATTTGCATTGTTGTTTTTTTTCGTGATTGAATGAATCTATGTTTTCATCTGAATTTAATTTGTTCTCGAGGTTTTCCTGGACTGACTAGGTTTTGATTTGAGTTTAATTTCCGTTTTCCGCCCCTGTCCTAATGCAACCTACTTTTTTTTACTGATTCTGTGAAATCGAATTCCCGAGATAGTTCAATTTGGTGTTCAATTCTTCTCCCAAACTCTAAAAATTGATTTTGAGTTCTAGAAGAATCAATGTGTTCGTGTTCTATACATGTTGTTAAGGAATTCAGTTCACAACAGCTTCTTCTACCATGGGCTTGGGCCCTGTTTGGCACACAACATACAAACACTGGTTGTTAGACATTTATCTTAGCTATTTTGGTAGATGTTTCTGATGTCTAGTTAAGGAAAAAACTGCCTGGTGAAAATTATTTCGGGTTTTTGAAGATTACAAACCGTATTGGAAAAGCTATCTATATGAAGCTTGAGAAACAAGTTTTCTATGGTCCAAACAATTCCCAAGTTTTGTGTACTAGGCATGTCTCCTCCAACATAACGCAAATCATCATCCAAATTCATAAAAAAATGATTAGCCCCATCCCCGAGGGCCCTAGATCCGGTCGGATAATCATTGAAGGAAGTAAATTAGACTTTGATCGCAGATTGATGACAATCATTGAGAGAAAGTAAATTAGACTTTGGTTGCATAGTTGCCTCCCAGCGCAGTTGCCAAGAATCGAATTCGAGTCTTACCTCCTTGGCACTCCTTGCCTTACCAACTGCGCAACGCCCACCGGCTAAATCATCATCCAAATTCATATAAGAGGAGTGTGTGCACCTTTTTTAAAGTCCTTTTAGGATTTTTTGCCTCCACATAACTTCTAGTTTCTTCACATACTGATGGTGTTAGGGGTGAACCGGGGGTCTTATCAAGTTGATGTTTCTAGGCTTGGAAATGGGAAGAACATGGAGGTGTATAGGTTGGGAATGGGCTGGACAAAATATGGAGTATGTGAAAGGAGTTCTTTTGGATTTTTGATATTATGAAGAAGAGTGGAAAATCAGGGATGAAGGATGGGCTTAGAAAGGATGAGATAAATTCCAAATAAGGAATAAGAGATAAACACACTCTTATCTTAATTTGGAGCCAAATTATTACTAAAGGATAAGCTCACCTCTAGATTAANGGAATAAGGGAGGGCAGTAGCTATGGCTTAAATGATCAAAAGGGAAAAGAGGTGTTATAGGGGCTGGTTTTTGGGCAACAAGAAATGAAGGAAGGGAGATGGTTTGTTGGAGAGATTGTTGGGTGGTTTGGCTGAACAAAAGAGAAAGGAGGTGATTTTTTTGGGGCTGGTTGGATGGCTTGGTTTTTTGGGTGGTTTGGTGTGGGTTTGGCTGAAGTAAACAAGGTGGTGGTGGTGGGTTTTGGGTGTTTTTTTGGCCAAAGTAGCAAGGTCGCCAAGCGGTTGGCAGAACTGCGGCCCTAACTTCGGATGGACGTATCTCACAAACCGTAACTCGGAATTGAGTGAAATCAGCGGTTAGATGTAGATAAAAAGAAAAACTTCAAAACTAGAAACTTTCACGTTGAAATACGTTTTGCACCTTCCTCCGTGATCACTTCTTTGGGTCTGAAATTTTCAGGAGCGATTTTCAGCAGTCTTGTTTTTGTGCAACGTAGGTGAAGCTGGTCCTCAGGGTAATAGTCGAGACTTGAGAAAGTCGTCGAAGTTGAGCTCTGATACCAAATGTTAGGGGTGAACCGGGGGTCTTATCAAGTTGATGTTTCTAGGCTTGGAAATGGGAAGAACATGGAGGTGTATAGGTTGGGAATGGGCTGGACAAAATATGGAGTATGTGAAAGGAGTTCTTTTGGATTTTTGATATTATGAAGAAGAGTGGAAAATCAGGGATGAAGGATGGGCTTAGAAAGGATGAGATAAATTCCAAATAAGGAATAAGAGATAAACACACTCTTATCTTAATTTGGAGCCAAATTATTACTAAAGGATAAGCTCACCTCTAGATTAACTTGGGGTTAAACTCTAGTATTTAATCAAGATATTACACACTCAATCAAATAACTAGAACCTAAAACTCACACTCAAGAGAACTACTCTTAAGATATAGAATTAGGAATTTGGCTAAAATAACATCACACTATTTTAAGAATACTCAAAGAGTAACAAAGTTTTATATTCCAAAAGATGTCTTTTACAAAGGCCATATGGCCGAAGAGGAAAGGGGGGGGGGACACACAATACATTGAATGTAACTACAAAGAAACTACCAAGCAACTTCCTCTTCCACATGTTAAGAATAATAGCCATTTATTCATGTCCTTTTGGTGGGATGAATTCAGAGATGTGGGCTGGTTTTGTGGGGTTATTTCAGCCAGTAGGTAGGGGAGCAAAAGGGGGAGATTGATAGGCTAATTTGGACTTATGCTTTAGACCATGAGTGGGGAACAAGGGCTGGTTGATATGGTTGGTGGCGGGTCAGGTTCTTTTGGCCTTTTGTGGGTGTTTGTTTGGCCAAAGTGGGGAGCACAAGGAAGCACATTTGGTGGTTATGGTGGTGAACAAAAGGGAGCATGTTTTGGGGCCTATAATTAGGCCAAAGGAGGGCCTGATTTGGTTTATGGTTTGACATTAATTTTGGCCAATTATACATTATTTCGTTGAAGAGATAATGGGGGGGATTAG